ATGTGTACATTGCAGTATGGCCTGAGGCGGTCGGTGTTCTCAACAGCTTTTCAAGGCTCCAACATTTCCCCCCCCTGGTGGTTATATAATTTACATGTTACGGGCTGGAGCAACCCTGTCAGAAGCTTTTTTTGTGCAATCTCTTATCAACATTTGGCTATGGATCAATACCTATGAAAATACCATTTTTAGTGGGTTATTCACATCCAGAAATCCCAGCTATTTTGATGTGAACAGAAGGGGTACTATTGGTTTTGACACACCGCCATTTCACCATCAAACACCAGGTCACCAGGCTTTTTGGGACACTCTGGCCATAATTCGCTGACCTCTTCAGGTCAATTTTTGGGATATGTTCCGAAAATACTAAGCAACAAATTTACATCGTGATGTCTGGGTGAGAATCCAATCATTCAGCCCAAATACCCTCTGGTAATTTAACATAGCGAACTGGAAAGATCCACCATCTTTAATGGGAAAATCCACTATTTCTATGGCCATGTTCAATAGCTATTTTGACATAACCAGGCCGGGTAGGTCATTTTATCCCCAAAATTCCCACTATGATCCCATCAACAAAAACCATCCGTGAGGGTGAAATCCCTCTGGACTCATTGAAACCTCCAACGATTTTTTGTTAAAATCGTAGCTAAATGCGAAAATGACATGGTTGATCCCATAAAATTCCCAGGACGTGGTTGATGTTTCCCAGGTTTTGATACCTTTTATCTCCCGAGTTTCATCATGAAACCCAGCGCATTAAAAATGCTTGGAGGATCATCCCACGGAAGTCCCTGATTCGTGGCGGATCCCATTTATAAATGGCAGTGTGTCAAAACCTTGTACCCCTGGTGAACATCAAAATAGCTGGGATTTATGGATGTTCATCCCCTTAAAAATGGTATGTATAGGTATTGATCCATACCCAAATGGCTAAACTAACCCCAGTTATTTCCAGTTGCGATTGGGTGATCCTTGAACTGGTTTCGGAGTTGCACCTTGATCCCTTGGTTCTGCATGAGACGATAGCCTTAGGTAAAGACTGTGGCATCTCGATGTGGTCGAGGAAAGCACTGCAGGTCGTTGGTGGTTCCAACAAAGAAAAACAAAACAATCATAGGGTAGAACACAATCGTTTATAATAGTTTATAAGTGATATAAACCAGAGATACGGGGTGATATAATGTGATATAGTTGAATAATGTGATTGATGATTAGTTCGGGGGTAAAAAAACGGTTCTACCCTTTCGAGAAATCTTGGGGATGAGTGCCACGGGATGACCTGGGGATGACCTGGAATGATTGAGATATTCTGGGGATTCACTGGGGTATCTATCTGGGTAAATTCTAGTAATTCGCTAACCTGAAATAAGGCCATTTTGGGATGATTCCTCTTATTAACCATGATTCCAGTGAGGTCGCAGTGAGGTCGTTATAATTTACCCAGATGTATATGTATTTACTATGTATATTAATATACGGTATTATACGTATAATATACAGTACGTGTGTGTATATATATATATATAATAATAATTATGTATATACGTGTGGGGAATATCATCAACACTATGAGGACATTGACTTACTCAACTTTTCATCCCTCTGCTGGTTGGCTGATTTCAATTGCTTTTAGGATCCCATGTTCGACCAAAGTGTGCTGCGTCATGGCCGCCATGGCCTTGCTGGTGACACTCATCAAATCACCAGTCTTCTCCCATCAGCATATCGTTCAACTGACTCCATAAGGCATTGACACCACCTTCGACTTTCTGATGAAACAACTTGCTGGAATGGATTCCTCAGGGCGCCAAAAACCAAGCGAGCCAGTGTTGATATCCAACATCACACTGCGTCCTCTGCGAACCCGGACATTGAAGACGCCATAAGAGTGATTATAGATCGTTATTAGCCCTCCCATGTTCAGAGCATAGCATCAAGAGCGCATTTGATGTTACATGAAAGTGTTCAGAGCAGAGCGTAGCATCAAGAGCGTGTTAGACGTTACATGAAAGTGTTCACAGCGTAGAATCAAGAGTGTGTCAAATGTTACGCAACCCTGGGTGTTGTCGGCAAGACGTAAGTCTTACTGAGAATCTGGTGGAATTGCACTTCTGAACTATGGTGAAACACCAGTGCTGTGGCACACTCGGTTGTTAGCCTCTGCCCTCCACCCCCAAAATGTGCGAACATGAGAGATATCAAACAACGTCAAAAACCTTAGCGCGGTTTTCCCCCCGCCGGCGAAAATATATGTATACATATCTTAATCATGTATATATATATATGTTCGTATCGTTATCGCACGCACACACACACACACTCCCAAATAGGGACGTCCGCGTTCGAACATGACCAATGGTGTCTGGGCTTCCAGAAGATGTCTCGAAAATTCGGTCAATAGGAGCTGCCAAAGCTGATCTGAAGGCCATCGCATTGGCACCTCATCTGCAGATGGTCTATGGTTGATTTCCCTCAGCGCAGTCCATGGGTAGTCCAATCATCGCTGGCCTTGTCATCACCATCAGCATAAATTATGGCTTAACATATCTGAACATCTGGTTCAGTGAGCTGTGTATACCCCTAATTCGTGACCATTTAAACTATTCCAAATTATTCCCAAGAAAAACTGTACCAAAACCATGTGTTTAACAAACTACCATGGGATCATATCATGATTTACCTCTGGTAGACATACAAAAAGCTATTGAAAATGGCCATGAAAATAGCTTATTTACCCTTGAAAATGGTGATTTTCCATAGATATGTTAGTGATTAACCGTAGAAATAGTTGATTTACCCCATTCAAAATGATGATTTTCCATCGTTTTTCCTATGTTTTACCAGTAGTTATGTGGTCGCCCTTTAAAAAAAATCCACCGTTGAACATCTCCTGGCCACCAAGCGGCAGATTCCACGGATCCCACGATCTTCCTGGATCGGGAAGATCGGCTGGTCATCCAATTTTCCAATCCCATAGGATCCATGGTGCTGCTATATATGGTGACATTTAGTATCCAGTTATCCAGTTATCCAGCTAGTATCGAATTAATGTTATCCAATTTAATTTGGTTATCCAGAAACTTACTTAAGTATGATCGATAATGAGGTAGAATCTGATGAATTTCTTGCGACTGGCGATCTTCCAGGATTTCACACGATTAAAAGCGGGTTTTCCTTCCAAACATCCCGTTTTAAATTCCAAGGAGGAGATCTTTGATACATTAGCATGGATGAAAACCTGTCCCAAGAATGCAGCCCAACTCTTCACATCTCAAAGAATCTTATGAACATGAACGCTATCTTTCAAGCCTTTGACGTGAGTAAATGTTCGTAAATGCGTCGTAGTTGGGTCACAAACCCATCAAAAACTGGTATAAATATGTCGACCGGGATTGAACCCTAAGATCAAACATCGAAGGATTTCCCCAGGTAGAAACCTCCAGGCGGGGATTTTCAAACCATCCACGTTTGATTACCAAAGGGTACATCCATTAACCGCATTCAATCGCAATGAATTGCCATGAATCAGCACTATTGACCATTAATAATCATTATTCATGATTCCTCATTATGAACCACTAATCACCATTAAATCACCATTAAATCACCATTATTCACGATTAATCACCATTATTAACAATTGATTCTTACTAAGACTTGCTCACTAAGTAAGATCATCATTAAATCACCAGCAAATCACCAGGAAAAATCACCATCTGCAGGGACCATCCCAACATCCTGTAGAAAGTGGCGACGATCGCGTTCCCGCTGACCTGCTTTGCCCAGGCGTTGCGGCGTAGAGGGTCCCCATTCCCAATCAAACGTTGTTGCAACTATGCATTCCGTTGGGGAGATCAACAAAGGTATTAAGGAATATTCAAATCCCACCCCCGTTAAACTTTACATTCAACTGGGAAGGTCAACAAAGTTATTAGGGAATATTAAAGTCCCGCCACCGTGAAATTTCTACCTCATTGAAGATATTCAATGAGGGTTTAATTCTCCCACCCCCGTTAAACTTCTACAGTCATTGAAGATCTTCAATGAGGGTATAATTCTCCCACGCCCGTTAAACTTCTACCTTCATTGAAGATATTCAATGAAGGTTTAATTCTCCCACCCCCGTTAAACTTCTACATTCATTGAAGATCTTCGATAAGGGTTTAATTCTCCCACGCCCGTTTACATTCTACATTCATTGAAGATCTTCAATAAGGGTTTAATGATGATGAAGATGATGATGATGATGATGATGATCGTGATGATGATGATGGTGATGATGATGATGATGATGACGATGACGATGTGTTGCCTGTCGTGGTTGCCGTTCCGGGCAAAGCCCAGGCATTTGCCGTATATATACATGTATATATATATATATGCATAAAATACAATATATATATATAATAAATAAATAAATAAATAGATAAATAAATAAATATATATATATAGTATATATGTATATATGTATATACATGCATATATAGGTTATGTAGGTCTTAAGCAACCTCCGCAACAACAAAAAAACGCAACCTCCTGCTAAAAGGGTGATAAGTCATTTTTTCATCGGGGGTTACTAAAATTTGATGTTTGTCAAATCGGAACACGATGATTTTTGGATCTGCAAAACCCAATCACAATGTGTTTCACCCCAAGCCGGTTGAAACATACAACATTCCAAAAACCACAGGGCTTATAATTAGTACTGTTCCCTGTTGCAAAATAAATGTTTGTTAAACACACATGGTGGTATATGGAATACCCCATGTCTACTATTTTTGGGCAGATCATGGCAGATCCACAAAGCTGGGCATGGTGGGTTTTTCCATAAGAGGCGGTGGTTTAAAAGGTGGCACATGGTGGTTCTCCAAACAATCAGGGACGACCATAGACTGTTCACACAGTGCGTAGTGAAACGTATGAACATGTTTAGAACGGTTGAAAACTCTTATGATGTTACATCATATAGTTTCAAAAGGGAAACCGATGAGATATAGACTGCTGTCATAAACTGTGTCAGACAAAAAAACAAAATTAAAGGACCGGATAACCCCACATGTCAACTTCTTCCAACAAGCAGCAAAAGAAATGCAAAGATGGCATGGGGAAAGCAGGAAAGGGAAAAGAGCTGGTGAAGGATTGGTGCGGAGCAAGTTGTGTGTGGAAGAGTAAGTACGAGTAAGTTGTGTATGGACAAATTGTGTTGTATGCATGTATGTATGCATGTATGTATGCATGTATGTATGTATATATGTATGTATGTATGGATGGATAGATGGATGGATGGATGGATGTGTGGATGCATATATATATATATATGCATACGTATATATACATATGGTGTCAAATGGCTACAGATGACGCAGGTACGACAATCTCATCCAACACAAACATGTCACAGCGTACGCGAAAGTGCAAGTGATGCAGCAGAGGTACATGCCCAGTCGATGTCACCAAGTACCACGCATGCCACGTGAAACCAAGGTGGATGTCTCCAAGTGCCACGCCCGCCACGCCAACAGCCGCCCCTGCCACGCAAAACGCCACGGCGTCACGGCGCCGCCTGCTGACCAAGCGCGCCACCAGAGCCAACCCAGTGCCATAAGTGCCACGCCTGCCACGCAAAGTAACAATCGATGTCGTCAAGTGACACGCCTGCCACACAAAGCAAAGGTGGATATCACAAAGTGCCACGCCTGCCACGCAAAACGCCACGGCGTCACGACGCCGCCTGCTGACCAAGCGCGCCACCAGAGCCAACCCAGTGCCATAAGTGCCACGCCTGCTACGCAAAGTAACAATCGATGTCGTCAAGTGCCATGCCTGCCACACAAAGCGAAGGTGGATGTCACAAAGTGCCACGCCTGCCTTGCAAAACGCCAAGGCGTCACGGCGCCGCCTGCTGACCAAGCGCGCCACCAGAGCCAACCCAGTGCCATAAGTGCCACGCCTGCTACGCAAAGTAACAATCGATGTCGTCAAGTGCCATGCCTGCCACACAAAGTGAAGGTGGATATCGCAAAGTGCCACGCCTGCCTTGCAAAACGCCAAGGCGTCACGGCGCCGCCTGCTGACCAAGCGCGCCACCAGAGCCAACCCAGAGCCATAAGTGCCACGCCTGCCACGCTTGTGTGTGGACAAGTTGTGCGTGGACAAGTCGACAAGTTGTTGTGATGGTGTGATGTGTGAGCAAGTGGTGTGATGATAAGTTGTGTGATGACAAGTGGTGTGATGACAAGTGGTGGGATTACAAGTGGTGTGATGGCAAGTTGTGTGATGACAAGTGGTGTGTGGACAAGTTGTGTGTGGACAAGTTGTGTGTGAGCAAGTGGTGTGTGATGACAAGAGGACGAGAGAACGACGGGAGGCGGACGGCAGACGGCGGACGGCGGGATACAGAACCAAAAACAAGAACGATGTGGGGAACAATTTCAAGTTCATTTTAAATATTCCCCAGAGATAGTCAAACTATTCTCAATTCCATGGATCAGTAAATAAAAACAAAGGAATCATGTAGTCTTAACGACGATGCATTCTTTTTTACATTAGCTATGGTATTTACATATTACATATAGATAGCGACACCACCCAAAAACAAAAGTTGAATAGTTGTGTGACCAATCATATTTTTACATGACAAATTATGTTGTTTCCTTAAAATGTTTCTCCCCGCAAGTGTAACAAACAACAATTCCATCTTGTCGCTTTAAGATTTCCCTCTGGTCATGAAACGAAGCAATGGAACATCCACTCTACATGGGTTAGGTTTTTCATATAGATTGGAAAGATCCACCGATGGAATCCCTCTACATGGTTTTCTCAATGGAACATGGAAGGTTTCTACATGGAAACATCAACTGCTTGGTGAGTGGTATACCTACCCCTTCTGAAAAATATGAAAGTCTAGTCAGTTGGGATGATTATTCCCAATATCTGGAAAGTCATAAAACCCAGGTTGGTGGTTGACCTACCCCCTTGACAATTATGAGTTCGTCAGATTGGATCATCACCCCAACTATTGGGGAAAATAAAATATGGTTGGTGGATGACCTACCCCTCTGGAAAAATATGAAAGTCAATGGGAAGGATTATCCCATATATGACATGGAAAAAAAATGTTTGAAACCACCAACCAGACATATTTTAGCTGGTGAATGTATGGAAAAATAAAATTCATGTTCCAGTCACCACCAACCAGAAAAAAGGTTGATTTTCCAGCCAGCCATGTTTGAAATTTGCCCGCCTCGTTGGGCTACAATCCTGCGAGTTTTCTGCGGACATTTGAAGCCAGTGACCCGGTCATTGAAGGTAGCGAACCGTGGGGATATAGCATGATATACCCAGCAAAACATGGGGAAAACTAACAGAAGTGCTGGGAAATGATAGGAAAATACGGGGAAATCTATGGAACATCACAATTTTTGATAGGTGAATGTTATCCTCTGTAAATGACCATGTTTCCATATAGCTATGTTAAACAAGCAGAGGATAGATGTTGTTTTGCCACAAAAAAGGGGAATCGGGTATTGAGGATCAGTGGGCATGTAAACTATGGGGATACTATACTAAAACATCAAAGGCTCGCGGAAACCATGTTTTAATGATCCCCTACTGATAGGTAGTGGGGGACCTCAAGATAACATCCAAGTCAGTCATTTTGTTCATGGGGCATGGTTGGAACCCAAGGGGCACTACAATTCCTGGGGTAGCAAATGTGATATTCCTCAGGCCCAAATGCACAAATCAGGCGCTCCTCTCTGCTTGAAACTTCTCTTCATTGATGAAAGGACCAATTTCCTTAAGGCAGGCAGGGGAAAACGTTGGGAAAAACGTTGCGAGGTAAATTGTCATTGTTCAAAGGACAAATCATCTATAAATACTATATCTACAAATCATTATGATTCTATATAATTCTATCATTGTTATAGATATTGATATTACTAATATATATATATATATGAAACCATTCCCGCTCTGCCAGAGTTCAACTGCATCTGTTTTGCAAGTGGCATCTCTGATGCATAATTGTTCTGGAAAACGGCTTTGATTGATCCGCAAGGCCAAGGATGTTTCTCACTAGGCCAAAGCTGAAATCAAATCGGTTTTTCCCCCACTTACGAAAGGTGGTGGTGGGGTGGAGGCTGGACACTTGAGCAACCAGGATGCGGCATTCCGCTTCCATTCAATCATTCTGGTGCACGCACTTTACATGAAACCATTCCCGCTCTGCCAGAGTTCAACTGCATCTGTTTTGCAAGTGGCATCTCTGATGCATAATTGTTCTGGAAAACGGCTTTGATTGATCCGCAAGGCCAAGGATGTTTCTCACTAGGCCAAAGCTGAAATCAAATCGGTTTTTCCCCCATCCCACTTCAGTGCTCTTCCACCAGGCAGTTGGCAATTGCATGGCACAAACCAAAAGGATAGGGTTGTGCCCGACGTGTCATCCAGAGACCGGTGTGATCTCGACCGGCAAGAATAATATGTCGTTTGCAACTATACTGACAGATGCCCTGGTGGCTATTGCAGACTGCTCGTAGGTTAAGGATAGAGTGAAACTGGGAGGCTAATAAATGCGTAGACTTCTTCCATGGCATGTTGTATGCACAAAAATCCACCCGCACAAATTGCGCTCCATGTTGAACTAATTTGTTGATGGGATCAGTCAGCCAAATACGTGATGTGTAGGGATTCTCAATAGTCCAGCGGATATCCAAACCAGATAAAAAATCACATAAAATGACAGTGACCATCAGGAAAGCATTACCCTGACGAACCTTCTCAGAATCCCGATAATGTAAATGTGGAAAACCCATCAGATTATCACAGTCATCACGTAGAGGTGCTGGTCCTCCATCATCGCGTCGAGCTCGACTCCAAGATGTGCAAGGTGTACCAAACCAGACCAACTTGATATATGGAGAAAAACTGCGAATGAAACGTTTTATGCGGAAAACCACAGCTTCTCGCAACAGATCACACTCTGCTCCATATTCAATGTCAAATGCGATTGATATGTAACCATGCGCCGCGCAAGCTTGAGACAACCGAGCACATCCACTAAAAAGCTCAATCACAATGCCCTTTGTTTCTACCTTTGTTGGTGGGTAAAAAACTTTAGGCCCACCGTTTGAAGTTTCTTCTCTAAGGCAATGCATGTTTCTTGAACCGCTTTTGGCAGAATGTAAAACTCTTGATTCACCCTGCCGTGTGCCTCGTATCGTCTGGTCGATGAATCTGATGCCCACCGGCCCCTCTGCTTGACCTCCAGAGCCGATCTCAGGTGATGCAGTCGATCGTGTGATGGACCCGCATGCCTCAGCTGATACAACACACAATGATCTGGAGGAAGGCCTAAGCTTGTCAATGCCCTCTTCCAATGCAACACCAGATGGCTGTACTGAAGATCTAGCAGAAAGTGATCCGGGGAGTTCAGATGCTCGAGTGCTGTCCCCAACCATGGCATCACGCTTGAGTCCAGTAGTATGCTCTCGTCTGACAGCCCTACTTTGGAAACTTCTTGTCTTTCTGAGGGATGCAGATGGATAGCATGGTGATGGTGCCCTGGAATTGGTCTCACCAGGTCTCTTTTTTGAAGATTCAGACACTCGCTGGGCCGCAAGTAAGCCGTGAACATCCATCGTCAAGACTGCCAGTGCAGCATTCTGCTGTCGAGCGGACACCATCTTCATGACCATGGCCGCCACCAGCAGCCAAGGAATTGGAGGCCTCGTGCGAGGCGGATCCGCCTTTTGCCATCCTTGGAGGGCACGTTTTGACCTGGGCAGGGCATTCTTGTGGCCATAATCTGGGAACGCGTCCATAACTGCAGCCCAAAGCTTTGTGCCTTCGTGAAGGTCCAGACCCTGGTCGAACATACTGTTTAGAAACAAGCAACAAGCCTCGTCGAACTTCATGATTGGTTTCAACTTGAGTTTTTGTATCTTGACAAAATTTCGGAAATCTGCTATCCTTCTGGCATAGTCCTGGGCAACTGGAAGTGATACTGCTAATCTCTCCAGGTTGGTCTGACCCACAAACCTGACTGGGTCTGTCCTCTGCTGAACTTGTAGCGCCCGCCTCTCGGCCTTCTCCTTTGGGCTCTTCAACGCCACGTGTTTCAGCTTGGAATTTCGGACTCGCCCAACTGGCCTGACCTGTTCTAAAATCCTCAACTCCTGATTCTTGGGACCGGCCAGGGTAGCATCTCTCATAGATCTTTTTGAGCCTCTCCTCACCCTGGGATCTGCCAGCAGCATGCTCTCTGCGCAAATGTTCCCAACGACGTGACCCCTTGTCAGCAATGTTATATTCACTGGGTATCCATCGCGTAGAAAGGAAACTATCTGTAGCAACAAGCAATGCACATATGCGCCGGCAAACCCTCAACATGGGTAAGGCTCCGGAACGACCCTTTGAGCACATCAAAACGACCGCCATGTTGTCATTCAAATGTAGATGCTTCTTGCCAAACTCACTGACTGATCTGAATTTATGTCTGAAAGACGCCACAACCCCACGACCCTCAAGCAAAGTGATATGTTCAGGATGTCTCATGTGAACTGCAAAAGCCTCATGCCACTTTTCCACATCCAAAAGATCCATGGGCACCTCTTGAAACTCCTCATTTAATTCAAAAGGATCTTCACGATAAACAGAGCTAGGCAAAACAGTACGTGTATCTGAAAAAGGATCCAACCTGTCCACAGCTTCTGCATCCAGGGCGTGCGCCCGAGGAGCTGGCCTGTTTTTATACCTGTATCGCCACGGCTCACGCTGGGATCCAATTCGCCCCACGCTCTCCGGAGACATCACTGATCTGCAAACTGCAATGCCTGACAGTGATGCATCCGATGCTGTGACGACAGTGCTCCACGATCGTTTCAAATCACATGTGCAAAGGTCTAAAAGGTGGGAAGCCCATCTGGCCTCTTTTGCCGCTGCTGCAAAAAGAACCTGCCGACGATCATAGGACTGCTGAATAAAGTCGTAGAGCCCCCGAAAAATGCTGAGAAACTCTCTGCGGAGCAACATGAAATGAATACAATGTCCCAACAACCGTTCAACTTCACGCCCCCTAACCCTTGGCTGCCTGGACAGCCACTTCAGAGCCAGCTTGACGCGTTGAAGTCGTTCAGGAATCGGAGACACCACTCCATGCCTTCCATCAATTCGGAAATCCAAACTCTGTCCAACCTCGCATGCCTCAAGTTCTTCATGCACTCTAAAACCCGTCCGCCTGAGTTTCTCAACGATGACATTCTTAATCTCTTGAACTCGAAGAGGATCAAGACCTGCCACGTTGAGATTATCGGCATAAGGGATCAGTATGACTTCCCCATCGGACAAATCTGGTGCAGCCCTGCCTTCAACCACTATTCTACTCACATCCAAACCAGACGCCTCCAAGCACAAGTGTTGATGAACTCGCTGAGACAGCCACATCGCCCATGACCAGCCCATTGGAACAACTTGCAACATAGGAAACACCCAGCCTTCAGCATCACCAACCAGACCACAAAGTTCTGGCTTCCCCCAGTCCTGAACAAGCCGGCAGTCAATCGCCGGCAGACAGAACAAAGGCTGCAGCTCAGTGGGTAACGCCAATGAGTAAAAATAATCTTTGATATCAGACTGCGCCAAATAAAGAGTGCTGTCCTCGGGGATGGACACCTGAGACCACGCTGATCCAGCGCCCAAAGCCAGTGGAGGTGGCTTCTTAAACCGTTTGTTGACAGCACGACAATCTAGAATCAGCCTCTGACGACCATTCTTTTTGTGAACAAAAAATGGAGGAACTATTTCCTGAGGTCTGTGCGTGAAAGACAGCATCCCCTTGTCATACAAATCCTGGACAAATTGTGAATAAAGAACCGTATCTTTTTGAAGTCGCTCATCCATGTATGGTCTGACTGTGTCACCATGCTCAAGCACCATGCCCCACTCCTCATCATCCAGCAACATAAAAGTGGCAGGATCTTCGACAAATTCTCGGCCAGTAGCATCCAAAACCTGAGCCAAAGCAACTGGTGCCGCCCCAACTTCAGGAAGGGATACAAGGTCTCGGTCGTAAGGTCTAACCGTGTTCATGCAGTCAGCCTGCTCATAGCTGACCGTGGTACGCAGAAGCTCCTGAACAGCTTCACGCTCACTGCAAACATCTTGGGATCTTGGTGCCCTCGATAATTGTTTGAAAAGACTATGATGACAAGCCCTCTGCGCCTCAGTGACGTCCAAATCAACATGCACCTGATCGGGCACATACATCTCATTGAGGCTGTCAACAATTGAATTGATCTTCCGCACCTTGTCACGCACCCGAGCCCTCCTCCTTCGAGAAGAGACCGAGAGACCTGACACGTGCGATGGTTCACATGCATGGGGTAAAGGAAAAAGCTCACGCCATCTCTCACCCGGATGAGGAAAGTTGAGCCCTTGACCCTGGTCATTGAATTCCGCAGCAGGCCATGAAACATCTCTAGCCCCCACATCTGCTGCCACTGCAGGGGCCAAAACATGACTCATTTCGAGTCGCCGCCTCCCCCTTTCTTTGGGTTCTGGCGGCGCAACTGGGCTTCCTCCTTCGCCTTCCTGGCCTCTTTCATCACTGCGGCATCGTTTCGCATCTCTCCAGCAACGTATTGAGTGAGGTCACTGTCAACACCATGGGCCCCTCTACGATATTTCCAACCCATATAGTAATCAGCAGCCGTATAATCAGGACTGGTCGGAGACACCCTGTGAGCCTCCCGAATGACCTGCAGCCTCCTGCAAATCAACTCAGCCCCCTGTAGGGCCACGATGTTCAACTGGTCAATAGTCACAAGGCTTTCAAGGATTCTGGACAAGCATTCATGCTCATAGGTACTGCGATCCCCTTTAGGAATGTCAGCTGATCTCAACCAGAATTCATGGAAGGAAGTTGGCGTCATGCTTTGATCCCTCAAAGATTTCAAAACATTAAGCCCACTGGTAGGCCCTTCCAATTGCAGGCCACCACCCAATGGCACACCGTCCACCATCATGGACACGGCCTGTGAGAACTCCCTGCGACGGATCCCTTGTGCATCAAAATGGACTGGAAGAATCCTCAAATCATCAAGGCGGTAATTCGGGGCCTCTGACACTGGAACATGTTTGACATAGCATGCCGACCCTGATCCATCCAACGCCGGAACCAACGCTTTGTCACCCAGCTGCGAACTGCCCGCCGGTAATGCCCCAGGATCATGGACCACAATGTCCCCCTTTTTTCGACCACCCGCATCCTCCACACAAACCCAGCACTTCCCTCCAGCAACTGCCGCCGCAGCCCCAGCGGGAGCCGCCGGTGCAGCCACCGCTGCTGGAGGTTGAGGAGCCAAGACACCTGATGGAGGAGGGGCGACCGGAGCAGCTGGTGCGGGAGGTACTGGAACCACAGGGCCATTCGGGATACCTCTCAAAGCCCGAATGGCGTTTGCCTCAATGCTACCTTGCCTCATGAAATTCGCCAGTGCAGCCGGATCCATTGGCTGGAACCCATAGACCTGTGCCAGCGGAATTCTAGCAGGAGGATTGGCATTTGACCCCAGGTATTCGAAATCGATAAGGTCCGGGTTGTGGATGCTAAGTTCCTCAGCATATATGTCGTAATCTGGTGTCAATATCACCCAGCTGTTGTCCGTCACCCTTGCCAGCAGAATTCTAGTATGCCAGCATGGCGGTACTTCGCCGTAGTTCATCAATGCCAGATGTCCCGGCTCCATCTCAACTGGTCAAAGTCAGAGTCTTCCCTTGTTGTCCAAAGGCCCCCTTACGACCCTTCACGGGCGAGTCCACTGGAGGACTGACTGCAGAGAAACTCTTTTGAGTCAACAAATAGAATCCAACCCCTAACAAACTGACCAATGAGGTAACCAGGAGAACACCTAACCAAATCAATGAACTCTGCCAACACTCACAAATACAGTGGCAATTGCAGCCGCAGCTCGTCGACGAAATTGGATGAGGATCCAAAGTGCCCCGGAGAACCCAGCCAATTGCCACCCCACTGATCGTGAGCAGCACCGATTGCTCCATGGGACGACGAACGATCCCCCTTTCACACTTGAGCAACCAGGATGCGGCATTCCGCTTCCATTCAATCATTCTGGTGCACGCACTTTACATATATATATATATACATTTATATTATATAATAGATTCATAGACTGGGTAAAGAAGAATTTGAAGAATTTGCTCATGCCCGTCAGGTCGAGGAAACGTCATCTCTTCTGTTTCCATTAGAATACCCTACAATGCAACCTTTTTAAACAACGTCTTTTGTTGGGGGATAAAAAACTACCTGGAACACGGATGATCCCGATTTTTGGATCTTTCAGCCTCAATATGAACCTCAAAATAACCAGATTCGCTACCGAACCTATTTTCTCGCCAATTTTCAAACGCATACTATCATTATGCAGGAATGAGTGAATTCGCGCAGGAGCTTGCGAATGGTACGCCGCAAAGACGGCCATCCAAGCCTTTGAGTCGTCCTACACCTTCCTTGCACGTGCAATGGAAGATGATAATTCAAATCCACAACCAAATGATACCAAATGTAAGGCCGTTTAAGCAAACGGTTTCCCGGAGACTGTGAATTGAACAACCTTTTTTTTCGGATCTGGGTTCTTTGAGCTCACTACTTAAGTTATCCAAATGCCCATCTCATTGCATGTGTCGCACCAAAATTTTCAGACCTCGCGGATAGTTGTTCCATGTGCAGGGAAAAGGCCCTAAACTACTAAATCATCCAATTTAACGACTTGACCCAACGACTTGACCTAATTCTACCCAATGGTTTTAAAGTTTAAAAAGTTCAAAGTTAAAACCACATTCTCCTCATATGAGTTGGAAAAACCATAATTAAACATGGATAAACCACATATAATCCATAGAATCCATATATGGATGGTTTATCTATTGCTTTGCTTAGATAAATTGAGCTATCCCTCCCTTTTACAGACAATCCCCCCAGGACTCACCAATGACGACTGAGTGACTACTGATATGTCCCAGTTGCTAGTTAGCTGCTAGCTGCTAGTTGAATCCCCAGCTTTGATTATCACCCTTTAAGAATCAAGCGTGGCAATGGACATTCCACAATTTAGAGATGTTCCGATTGAATCCATGTACCCTCTGGTAAATCACCATTTTTAATATGTAAATCAACTATCATTTTTAAATAGCCATGTAACAAATTACCAGAGGGTATAGATATGTAGTTCGGGGATTTTCCAGCCACGTTTCATTCCCAGAGGGTATTGATCCATCTCCAAATGCCAGGACTTGGTTTCACAGCCGGTGAAAAATCCCACAAGTTCAAAATAGACAGTTCAAGAGTTAGGGACTCCAAAGAAACAAGCAACTGAGCCAAACAACTGAGGGTTTAAACCTTCTTTGGCTAAAACAGAAAAACATGTGTGTGATTCCAGGAGAAATAGATGTGTATATATATATATAATATTGGGAATATACATATATATATATACATATGGCCCAGCATGTTTTATTTCCAGGAACCAATCCAACATCAGGGTACCATTTTTTGACACATACCCGTGATTTCGTAATATCGTCTGGTAAATTCGTCCCACTGACCACAGGCCATGTACCCTTTGTGAATTTAACATAGCTATGGACTAAATAAATGATATGTTACATGGGGAATATATTCAAATAGGTTAAATGGATCTAAATGGTACGTTATGCATTGTTATGGTATGTTAATTAATATTCAATGGGGAAATCATCGAACTAAATGGGCCAGCTAAATGTCAAAAAGCGATGTCAAATTGCAAATCTATCCACTCAAATGTTTGCTGTAAACACTCAATCTCCCCATGTTTACTTGAATCCCCATGTTAACACGATCCTGATTTGGGTCAAAACTCAAACCTAATGACGTGACCCATTGACTGTGGGTCATGGAGAACACCATGGCACTGACTCCAATTACAGATACCCTCCAGTAAATGAACGTAAACCTTTGAAATTGCCGATTCTATGATTGAAGTTTCCCTTTCAACAACCTCTATATCTAACCATCATCCATTGGCCTTAGACCAGGTCGCCCAGCCCCAAATGCTCTGCTCCAGCCCCACACGCCTGGTGCGGCTCTCCGAGCGCTCCGCGGAGCGCGACCTGGGAGGTGATGACCCCATTTCCCTGCTTAAGTCAAAAGGTGGTGCCCCCGTTTTTATACCGTTTTTTGTTCAATTTCCTCAATGAACAATGAATCCCACACTATACAACTATATTCTATGATACCATCTATATCTATATCTTATATCTATATCATCTACAATCATCTGAAGGCCTAAGTCATGGGGCTACCTGCATGGAGATCCGCCTCGCCACGTCGTGCTCAAGGTGCTCAAGGTGCTCAAGGTGCACAGGACAGCAGGGGTCCAGGGGCATGGCTGGTACCTGGCTTCGTGGATAGCTGGTGAATGTAAATATTCCACCAAAACCATGGGAATAACATGGAAGAATGACATTTGTGGACACATCCTCATTTTATGAAATGATGCTAATGGCACTATGGATAAGAATGTCTAGGATACTGCAACGGCAAGTGTAAAATATTGTAGATACCTGGATCTACATTTGGGAGATGAAGATTAAAATATCATGAAGATATCAAATGATACCATAATCATAGTGATGTCCGGCGTCCCGTGGCTTTTGATTTACCCATTCAAAATGGTGGTTTTCTATAGTTATGTTAGTTTACCAGATGGTAAAGTTTGCAACATCTCCACACTCATCCCCGATTCTTGATATCTGATTAGCACAGTGTTCATTCGGTCAGAGGTAGGTCGTCTGGGCGCTTCTGACCCGAGCGATGAATTCTCCCGATGCAAATCCACAATCCACGATGGATAAAACCTGTGAAATCCACTGATGAAAATCATTTCAGTGAAGATCGACGTTGGCTATCTTATTTTCATTGGATTGGTTTTGTTGGGAAAATCTTAACCGGAAACCATGGTTTTTACCATTAAATATGGGGGTTTCCTGTAAATTTCTCCTTAAACCAATCCAATGATTTTTAGTCTTATCTTTGCACCATTTCAATGGCACCATTCTTTCGAAACCAGTGCCGTCCTTCCATCGCACGCGCCTCGGCGGCCTTGCGCTCCCTGGCCAGCCGCAGTCCGCGGTAGCCGCGGTAGCGACTGGCGACTGGTCGAACTCAGCGACTGACTAAGATTCATGGTATAGTTACAATGTGACGCCCCTGTTCGATAGCGTTCAGTTGGTGAACATAACTCCAATAACTATGGTTTATGGTATTTATAACGAACTAGTTACTGCTTATAAACCAACTTATATCTTGGGGGCCTCACATTGTACTAATTGGTGGTATACCTACCCTGAAAAATGATGGAGTTCGTCAGATTGGATCATCATCCCAACTATGAAAATCAAAAATGTTCCAAACCAACCAGAGTTAGTTCAGCAAGGATACATAGATACAGTAGATAATATGTATAGATAATTTTGATAATAGTTCTACCACATGAACTTTGCGAAGGGAATGATGGCATATGTATAGACATGTAATTATAGACTGTATAGATAATAGTTCATGCGGGTTTGTCGAAACGGGTTGGTAAGTGGGATGAATTATGACTTTAATGGGGAATGAATTGGGGGTTTAATAGAATATAACTCACCAAGTATGACAAATTTTGGGTAGCCACGCCTCGTATAAAGCCGGACGGTTCACCATGACCAAAATGGAGATACAATGAGTTTAAATCGATATCGGTGTGTCTAAGAATTGTCTTTGTTGTTTTCATTGTTATTTCGATAGGGATAATATGGGATGTTCATGATTAACCAGCGGATTTAGGGTTGCAATGTTTTCAGACAAACCCTTAAATTAGTAACGCAGATGATAAAACCAAATTGCCGATCATGTACTAGCTTTAAACATCATTCCAAGAATCGCACAACACCTTGATCATAATCACTTTCTGTTCTGGTAAACCCAATTGAAAGACACCCTATACCTAATCATAAACTCCCCAGTCCCAACTCTCTTGAAGGAGTATCAATCTCGCAATGATGGCCCTTGTTTGTAATTGGGGTGTTTGATTTCAGTGGCCATTTATCACTTTTACGGGTTGGCCCCTCTACTTATGAGCCAGCTTATCAATGCAGGCTTAGCAATAGACTCTCTTGTTGATGGGGGACTTTCATTTTCCCTGTAATTAGTTGTTCATCATCATCGCAGATATTTGTTGAACAACCTCATTACATTTGGACTTTCATCGCTGTCGGTGTTTGGATGTGTTTGGTTACTTCTCGCATGGTGATAGGAATTCCATAAGATCTTTTTCCAGATTTGACCCCAACTGTTTCGGCAAGTGTGCCTGGAGCGGCTGCACGAAGCGAGAGCAACATGACTCAAGTTCTTGGAATTACAGAAGTCCTGCCCCGCGCAATCATTCCGTTGTGTAGTAGTCATTTTTCCAGCAAAAATGTGGGTGCCTCTGCACTGCCGCGTTTACAGAAATCTAAACTAAGAAATTGCTGCCAGTTGTCAGTTTTGTGGTCGTTTTGGCTCCGGTATATTCCAAGACTAACTTTAGTTGGATCGAAATAAACTATATACAGTAACTAAAGCAATCCATGCTATGCCGATGCCATCTGCATGTGTTCATCTCGATATACACCTTGATGTCTGATGTGTGGTGAGCTGTATAGCCCAAGCTACGCCCACAAAAAGCCTGAGTCGACCCGTCATGGCTCGTACTTGGAATCGGAACACTTGCCAACAACACAGTCTACCCTCTGGTAGTATATCCTGACAATGGAACATCCCCAAACTTAAAACTTGCACCCTCTGGCAAACGAACATAGCTATTGAAAAAGACCATAGAAATAGTGGATTTTCCCAGCTAAAAAATGGTGGATCTTTCCACAGTTTTTTGTAAACGTTTACTAGGTGGTAGATGATTTACACAACACAACCGATTTCCTCCAGTCTAAAGTGCGTATCCCAGCCAGCTGTGATAACCAGGCCTGGCAAAATGGTAGCATTTTTAACCTGATTGGTGGTGCAATAACCATCTTGAAAAGTATGAGTTCGTCAATGGGAAGGATGACATCCCATATATGAAATGGAACATAATCCATTCATGTTTGAAACCACCAACCAGGAACACATTTGAATCTTTGGCTCAACCCTTACGACCTCCCAAATTCTTTCGCTTTGCAACACTCAGATGTCATCCCTGGATGTGGATCCCAGGCATTTGGGAAGTGGCTTTTCAATCTCATTAATTATAACCAATCATAACCCAGTCAAAACCCAGTTATGTATATAATAGTATATTAATATTATATATGCACACTTTGTAGGTTATATGATCCTTAATCATCCTTAGGTTATAGAAACAGTTTTGACAGTTTTGATATCTGGTATCCTAAGGTTTGAATCCTCACCACTCGATTTCCCGCTTGGGATCTTTGGGAGCCCATTTCTTTAAAGTTGGGACATCCGAAATTGACAAATCCCAAGTTTGAGTTATGTAATACTTGAAATTATACATCCAAAATACAATGATACTGGTTTGTATACATCCAAATTCAAATTGAAGTTGACATGTACTTGAACAGCTTACTGTATACAAATATCATCCAATATCCTACACATCTCAGGGATGCAGCAAAAATATAAAAGTGCGAGCAACCAGGAATTGGATTTGCTCCACAATATGGCCCTGATGTTTGTGAAACACTTCACTCGAAAAACGAAAATCCATCGACATGACCAGCTTGAACCAACATGGGTATGAGCCGAACATGTGAGATGTCCATACGGAACATAAAAACATGTTCCAAACCACCCACCAGATAGGATCCCATTATGAATCACCTATGGTTAGTTAATCACCATGAATCACCATTAATTACCACCAACCAGTTGATATATGATAAGTGAATATAAATCTTACATGGTTAACATTTGGGTTAAACTAGTACCCATTAATCACCATTAATCACCATTCTTAAATATACCCATCCATACCACCAACCAGGACTGTATAATTGCACCACATCCGTTCTCTTTTTTTCACTGCGTTCGCAGCGCAGACCGCTGCAGAAATTTCACCGTCGCACCGGAGGAACGCCTGCCAGGCAACAGCAAAGAACCAATCATGACGCCCATGGCTTCAACCAATGTCTGACGAATCATGGACACAAAACCTAACTTGAATGGTGGTTTAATGGAATTTTAATGGTGGTTTAATGGGATCTAATGGGAATTTCAATGGCATCTGGTTGGTGGTATTACCTACCCCTCTGAAAAATATGACTTCGTCAGTTGGGATGATGATTATTCCCAATAATTATATGGAAACATAAAATTCATGTTCCCGGTTTATATTTGGCGAAATATGCTGAAGCATCTGGATGTATATATATATATATATTGATTTTGAAACCGCCTTTTAGTGACCATCGGAACCTCTTGACCTCCGTCGGACCCCCCCGCAGGTGGAGATTATTTTCCATATTTTGCGCATCCAAAATGGGATTTGAGCTGGGAATTCCGTCCTACAGGTCCAATTACCAATGCACACGAATGCAATGCAAATAAATGCAAGACATCTACGGAAATCCTTACAGCAGGGCATATCTGACTCAAGCCCGACAAAGATTTAAATTTTGGGACATCGATCCCACAGATGTTCTGATCCAAATAATTCGTCGTCAGCAAATCCCAAATTTGAATGTTTCAGGGCCATCTTTGCGCTCTTTGCCCCACCCAAAATGGCAAGGAAAACCAAACATCACCTCGATTCTGGTATCTCACTCATATGAGCAAAAATTAGCATAGGCACATCATCAATAACTCAGTGGGGTCACAGTGACGTCGCTCTAGTTATATTTTATTTACTATAGATTCTCAGGGTTGGGAACACAGCACCCCAAGATACCTCCAAAGTTGGCCAACTTTAGAGGTGGACTCACCCATTTCCCATTCCCTTCTATGATTTGCCTACAATAGGTTCGCGCAATCTTACAAACAATGAAGCAACCTTAGAATAACTGGTGACCCCAAGCTACAAGTTAACCATAAGTTGGCTTATATATCACATTAACTATAGATATTTCAACGATTTTTCCACCCTAATCCCCTATAAACCAACTTAATTAGCCAACGAGCTGGGCCGGGGCACCGGCACCGGGCAGCATCCGCCCAGCCTAGCCATCGACTCACTTCCGCGATCTGAAAGAACTTCCGAGAGACCTCGGGTCCCGAGTCCCACCGGGGATTTCAACCCATCCCATGGCTATCACATGGATCAGATGGGGATATCATGGGGATACATCATCTTCCAAAAAAATGGTGGTTTAATGGCATTTAATGGTGGTTTAATGGGATCTAATGGGCATTTTAATGGCATCTGGTTGATGGTGTACCTACCCCTCTGCAAAATATGCAAGTCAATGGGAAGGATGACATCCCATATATGAAATGGAAAATAACACATGTTTGAAACCATCAACCAGTGAATGCTTGCATATGTATCCAGCAGAAACTCATAAACTGGGATCTTGGCCGGCAATAGCAAGGCAATTGCCAAACGCATTCAGTACTTGGTGTTTTCTTGGCAACATAGCAGCAATGGGACCCACATAATTATATGATAAAGTTAGGTGATTTCATGTGTAGATGATCAAATCAGTGTTAGGGTGAATGAGGGTACCCGGTGGAACCTATTTTCACATGCTGCCGGAGACATGTGTTTTGCCATGTCGAATTTTCTCTACCCCAACTAAACTACGTACATTTACTATACCTACCTTTTGCACCCAAAGTCACCCATTGATGTAGGTCTGTATACATGACAATCAGTGCAACACATGAACATACACCCTATTTGCAAACTCAAAGGCAACACATTCAATTGAACCGTTTGAACCCATGATTTCTCCAACTGCAAAGCACCAGTCGGAGCTGGTTTTTTCGGCCCGACCGGGAAGAGATAGAACGGGCCGATCTCAGTCTTAACCTCTCCTGGCAGGATGGGAGCTGGTGGACTTCCACCAGTTATGGCGTTATGGCCATGGGATTGGAAAAACCCCTATGTTTAGACAAACCCATATTAAGCCAAAACATCTTCAAACCTTACAACCAAATACTTCAAACCTTACAACCAAATATATATATATATATAAATATATATATATAAATATATATATATATAAATATATATATATATAAATAAATATATATATATATGTATAGAGTGGGGTGGCGTGGAGTGGGGTGGGGTGGGCTAATAAAGTTCATTTGCCTGTGATCATCTATATGTGTCTTCCAACACCCTCTTGGTTCTACGCTCTGAATTTGCTTTTGGAACTTCCAGCATGCTCTTCATGCTATGCTCTTAACTCGTTCTTGGAACTTCCAGCACGCTCTTGATGCTACGCTCTTAACTTGCTCTGGGAACTTCCAACACGCTCTTGGCCTGTGTTTTTTCGGCATTCGTTCAATCGTTTTCTAACATGAAGATGCACCTGGAGCACACGCAAATCAATACCGAACCTTTTTGTCATGTCCTGGAAGCCAAGTCCCCAACCGGGTACAGTTTTTGACCTACCTTCCTCCTCCAGGTCCATCTTAGCAATTTCAACAACGCTTTGATCTGGGTCCAAGTCCTACCAAGTTTAGATGTTTTTTTTAGTGTTCCCAACATGTCAGGTATACGGTATCTCCCACAACTTTCAGATTGTCCCGAAACATGGATCGCCACTGGTCGCCTGTATCCGATGGCTTCATAGCACTGCGCAAGTCCGATACCTTGGGGGGCCATGATTTGGATTTTGGGTTCCAAAATGTTCAAGAAAACCATACAGCCATATGGGGATGGGTAAAAACCTTGCACCCCTGGTGAACATCAAAATAGCTGGTAAATGAATGTTCATCCCCCTAAAAATGGTATTTATAGGTATTGATCCATAGCCATACGATCATCTCATCCTCTATGGAAAAAAAAACTGGGAAATTCCTGAGGTTTTGCTAAGTCATGGTGCTACCCAAATCATCCAAGTTATGGATGACCATGACTTAGTACTGAAACAACCATGGTGACTTGGTGATCCCCAATTCGTTAAGAAACACCTTTTTATGGTTTCTGAAAGGAATGAATGCACGCGCAATTCTGCATTGGGATCATGAATGGGATTCGAGATATGCTGAATTTTGCAGGCCACCTTCATGTTACCCTCTGGTTATGTCAAAATAGCTATTGAAAATGGTGATTTAGTTCGTGGATTTACCCAGCTGGAAAATGGTGGATCTTTCCATAGTTATGTAAACGTTTACCAGAGGGTATTTGTTACGGTTGTTCGAATTGGTTGGTTCAATGCAGGGATCTCCGCAATGAGTCATACATGATACTTGAAAACAGGCAAGACGACCCAGGATCAACAATCAGCATCAATCAACCAACACAAGGTTGGTTCAAAACAACAGACCAAACTATAACTGTACTTAACTATACTATACTCTACGTATTTCATGTTATTTCATCATTCTAAAACCAACTGAGCCAACCTGGGTTGGGTTTTTCTGGCTCCCCCAATATGGGTCAGTTCACAATCCCACCAGGTGGTTTTCCAAACCTCTATTTGAGCAGTGGCTGCGATGGCGCCCCGTTGATGATATCTTATATAGATGATTATATAAATTACTTATTGCTTTGGCCTCTTTCTGTGTTAGGGGCCATAGCTACCCAGGATCTATTTGTAGAATCCTAGGAACTGTTTACAGAATCCCAGAAACTATTTATAGAATCCCAGAAGTTATCAACTAATTATATATGCTTAGATCATCTTAGATCATCCAATATCATGGGTATCAACAAACGATCGATGTGAATTCCGATTGACCAAACATTTTTTTTTTCGGTCAGCCAGCCAGTCATGTCGACTGGGTCAATCTCTGAGGCTGGCACGTCCACCCAAACAGGCTGCAATGGCAGTGCTTTCTTTTGATGCGCTTCTTTCTCCTGCTGAAACGTGGCACCGCGTGGTGACCGTCAAACAGAAAAACTATACGTGCTTTGATACCCTCAAAGAATGAGTTTTTAGCTGGGCAGTATGTAGGTATATCTATCTGTCTGTCTGTCTGTCTGTCTATCTATCCATCCATCCATCCATCCATCCATCTATCTATCTATATATCCCCATGCATCGCACACTTGAGCCTATTGAAGTAGACATCCAAGATTGACCGAGCTTAGTCTTTATAATTATCTGAGAAGCCTGCTTTCCACACAAACACACACAGATGCATATATATATATATGATTATATATATATATGATTATATATATATATAATAGAATTATAATGAATTATATCGAACCACTTGACACTTTATTCAGTATATAGGTCCAATTTCCTAGTTAGTTCCTAAATTCGTCCAAAAAAACTTGCAGGAACCCATAGGAAGCCCCTTTTTTCAACCACCGGGATCCAGCCATCGCCGCCGTCCTGCTTCCTGGCCTGTTGCCTGCGCGCTTTGGGCGCCGGCTTCGCCGGAGCTGACACCTGGGGCTGCCCGGATGGTCGAGAGGTCAACGTTCCAAATACATGAAACAATCATAGATTACAATGTGAGGCCCCCAAGATATAAATTGGTTTAGGTTCGCCCCAGTAAGTATAGATATAAATACCATAAACCATTTGTATTGGAGTTATGTTCACCAACTTAGCTATCGAGCGGGGGCCTCACATTGTAGGTTTTTAAATCATTGTTATACCACTTATATAACGGCAAAACCGGAGTTTTTTTTCAACCTGAAATCAAGGCCGTGATTTGGAACATCTATGTATCCACCCGTGCCTTTGGTTCGGAAGTATGACTGGGGTATGATGACTGGGGCATTTTTTTTGCTCCTTCAATGGGGAAATATCTGGATCCAAAGCGAACACATAAATTGAACATGTTGCATCACAAATACCATGGGTTTTCATGACAAAACTTCAACTCCCCAGCTTCACAAGAATTTCTCGTAACCACGAGCAGCGCCATGATCATTTTGGTGAGTACGATAAACACTGAATGATCCATGGTAAACATCAAAAAAAAACTGTGAAGGCTGGCCAATGAACAGGTACCAGGGGCCAGGGCGAGAAAAGGGAGAGCCCAATGCCCTAGAAAAAAAACAGAAACACATCGGAAAACAAACATACAATGATAACGATAACGCCAGGGTTCATGGCGGTGAATCAAGCATGAAACCTCTGTCAGCTTTGAGAGTAGAGTTAGTAGAGAATTCAAAATGAAACTGTGGAACCAATTTGCCAATCGCTCATCTTAACAACAATAAGGTACGCCCACCCCAAACTTGACATGATAAGTTCCTTTTTGATCGTGTTGGATAAATAATTATAAATAAAACAAAAACATACATATTTCTCTCCAATATCCCCAGAGGCAAATCTTCACCATGAAAGGATACTATTCAGATGCAGTCCCGCTGTGGCTGCACGCCTTGAATGCGTCCATGGTAGCTTCCTCGGATGGCACCTGCAGCGCAACACATGGGGAATCAAAGGCGTTGCTGAGAGTCAGAAGGGCCACACGGTGAGATTGCCATTGATGGACACGCCAAGAACTCCTAAGCGCATGCTGGAAACCTTGGATCTCAATGCAAGCGATGTTCCTGAGATCGATGTTCACAACGACCTGATCGCCAACATCAAGGACGGATCTCAAACCAACCTAAGTTGCCAAGCCAAGTACTCAAGCGATGAACAGTACCAAAGTCACGGTCTGAAGTGATGCCATTAAGTAAGCCCTCGAACCCAAGCCGAGAAAAACAAAAAAAACAGGCAACCCGATGTAAACAGGATGCCAAAACCATGCCCAATCACAAGCTGAAGAAGTGACCAGGAGCAAGTACAAACCGGGGGAGCACGCTGACACCCCAAGAAGCGTTTCGCTCATGGCAGCACGCGCGCTGCAACAACGTGCCGCTGCACAGCAAATCACCTACTTGGAGGATCACCCCAAGGACAATTCACCAGTTCCGCAAATGATCTTGGCCTCACCTGATGGGTCAAACACGTTGGACAAAATGTGGATGATTCTTTCGTGGAAAACAGCAAACATATGCAAACATCCTTTGGTACTCCAATCATTTGACACCTCGTAAACCATGACTGATCTCATTTTAGATATCCTGCTGATCTCATTTTTTGAGTAGTTGCTCAATAAATGTATATATATATATTATATCTCATCAAGTCTTCTCTCCTTTTCCACCATTTGCTGCGTAAGCTTTTGATCACGTGCTGTTGGCTGCAACTCGATGTAAATCGCAGCTGCCACAGCTGAAAGCATAAAGCCCACTTCTCCCGTAATTGCCGTTCTTCTTTTTTAACGGGCTGCGAAAAATGACCACCACAATTGAGCTGGTATTCCAATCTTCTTCCAATAGCAAACCATATCCAGAAGAGAAGGAAACTGAGCTGCAATCATCAAAACTTTGCTGCGAGCGTTCTCAGGGATTTTTGTAAGGTAGGGCACTGTTGCTATCTCTTGCAAATAAATCATCATCACTCGAAAAGCAATCCACCTCCCGCGACGCATCACAAGATCACCAGATTCAGTTGTCTGGAGCAACCACGTAGCACCACCTGGGCGTAGCGATCCCAGGTCCAAAGGTTTGATCCCTCGGTGTACGGTATCTGGTAGGCTCAAAGCCTTGCAAAGTGACTTGAATCTAGACCTCAAAGTCTGTCCTGAAAAATTCCAAAGAAATTCATTTTGCTTCAAATCACTAAACGCAAGTTCTACGACTCTGAGCAAATCTGGGATGTCCAGTTTTGCGCTTTGGTGTCTCGCAGTGGTGAATCGTGTTTTCGGCTCAGAAATTGCAAGGAGAGCATATGTAACAAAATAGCCTGAGTCAGATTGTAAAACCAAATCAGACCTCTTCGCTTTGAGCAGCTCACCCGATCTCAAAATAGCACCCCAGCCCAATGCTAAAATGCCTGCCATACGCACCCAGCCCCAAAGGAAGCAAATTAAAATCATCGCAAGCAGTACTGGGCCTGGCATGGCCACATGATGCACATTAGGCTCTTGCCTAACCCAGGAGTACGCCAGATCCCATGCTCCTTGGAGCGATCTTCTGATAGCAGGCTTTAAACTTCCAAGGGCATTGATGGTCTCCGAGTATTGGTTGAGAGGGCGACCCGCTGCATACATCTCTCTGCCGAACTTCGCCAGGAGTACATTGATATCTTCAATGTTCTGCACAGCGTCCTTAATGAGCAAAGAGAAATCCACCCCCTGTTCTTGAAGCCATACAGAGAAAGTGTTCAGCAGCTCATCCCTTGTCCTTTTTGTCACATGCAAAACTGGCCTTCCAAAAGGAAGGGCGCCGCGAGTGGCTCGTGTCTGAGCCCTGTGCGAGTCACCAGCATTCCGAGGAAACATCGGCCTGGCTACCATCGGCGAAGGCAGACAAAAGAGGATCACTAAAAACGGCTGCAGCCACTTCCAGCTCTGACATGGAAAATAGAAACGGGGGCGAAATCCATTGGCACCCACGCACGCAAGACAGAAAACCTTAGGTCCCTCACCAGGATAGCCCTTTGTGGAATCGAAATCCAAGACGCTAAAGTCCAAAGAGTGAGAGGACAGGGGAGGCAGTCGGAAAAGGCTTCGGTCGGATAAGTCCAACAACGCAGGTCCATGCATTCTAAGGAGCAGACGAACCCAGTTTGCTGCCCATCTCTTCAACTTTGGCAGCTGAGCTAATCTAAAAAGTTGGTCACGTGACCAATCTCCCTCCAGGATTGAACTCTGTTGGCTTACCCAGATCTTTTCGCGTGTTGGTGCATCTGAGGGATTCCACCTTGTTGGAACAAAAGGCAAACCGACATAGAGCCCTGCAGCTACGCACAGAGCCCCTATTTTGCATACCAATGGGCTGAGTCCTCTGGAGGACGTACGCCCTTTTGCCATTGCACATCTAACTACATTAGAGTCCAGGAAGGCTGACAGCCGGCACGGAGTCTTGAGCTTTGAAAGGTCAGACACCAAGCAAAACAAAGCATGGGCTTCTAAGATATTTATGTGAGGTTTCTTACGGAACTTCCAATGGCGACCCACTTCCCAAGGGGCGCACAACGCAAGGTCATTCACAAGTTGGTTCTCAAGGCCCTCCACTTTGACATCATCATCACCTGGCGATTCAAAAGCTCTGACTGCATTGGCTAACGTGTCTGCTAATGCCTCGGCGAGATCATCAACATAGGTTGCACTTGCTTTTGTGTACATGCCTTGTACCATCACATGGCGCTTTCTGCACTGACATCTCAGGGAAATGAGACAAGGGTCAATGTGTACTCCTAGAAAAGCGAAGCTCTTAAGATGGATACTACCATACCTACAGGAGTCACATCGTGTGCAGCTGGCTTCTTCGTGGGAGAGGAAGGTCTTATAGGGAGGCAACCTCTTTACTAAAGAGGAAAAAGGACTTTCCATTATCCCGGGCACCTCATACCACCTACCCAGGTGCATCATCTGCAAACCTCTCAAAGACAGCACATTGCCAACATGTGTCTTCTCTTCATACGGAAAGAAACCATAGGGCTCATCTGCAGACCTGAGAGCAGGCCGGCGCATGATGGAGAACGTCGTGCATGGAGGTTCAACCATAAACGCTTTGACCCTTCTATTGGTTATCAAATATGCTATCCATTCCATTACTCTCACATCTGACAAATCATGCTCCGAGCTATTTGAAAGGTCTATGGGTTGGCAGCAAACAAAACCTCTTAACCTCATGAAATGGGTCACTTTGGCTGCACCTGCAAGCACTTCGATAAAATCAAAAATGAATGCAAGTGGGCGAGGGACCTCGGTTGGAGTCCTGGCCTCCTCAAAATTTCCTCCTACTTCCTCTTCCAGCTGTCCTACTCGTCGCAAAGCAGTTTCAACAGGGGAAAGCAACCTGCTGTACCCTCCCTTGCTCTTGGTAGTTTTCCACACTACCTCGGACAGTTGTTCAGGTACCTTAGCCTTGCAGTAAGCGCCTTTTTCATTCGAAGCATCAGTGCAGAAAACTGTGTCCAACCAGGGAGCGTTGATCTCCGATGCTATCAGGGGCATCAGCACAGACACCAGAACCAACTCGTTCGCAACCTTCCTACTGAGAGGTATCAGCTTTGGATTGTCAGCATCCACTTCACTCATGTCTGCAGCTTTAAAGCATTGCGAAAATAGTGACATCATCGGTCGTTTATACATCAACGCTGAAATCCATCCACCTACCAAACAAACCATGAGAGCATCTGTGCAGTGAGAAAGACGTGCAGCCTCGAGACTGATGGCGGACAACGCTAACCTTTTTTCAATAGGGGCAGACACCAGGGCTATCCCTTGTTTCACAGCATCATCACAGGTGTTGACGGTAGCGCCTACGACCTTGGCTTTGAAACCGAAACAACTTTCTCAGGACTGCCAAGAATGCCATCTTGCTCGTAAGCTTGCCGCGCTTGTTCCAACTTCTGCGCTGCAACGGATTTGTGAATATCAGACCCTTGCTTTTCTCGTGAGATAACAAAGAAATCATCAATCACTAAACCCTGACATAAATCCCTGGACTGAAGAGCTGCAGTGCTAACAATTCGACTATCATCATTCAGGAGGCCTTTTGACTGCAGGAAGTTCACATGAGCACAAGTAGCAAAATCTACTCCGGCATGGTCTCCTTGAAAAACGGACTTGAAGGCTATCCTCACATGCCCAGGGCTGTCCACAAGGAGACTTCGCGGAGCCAGTTGATCCCCTTGCTTTTCACGCACGTACCTGCGAGGCCGGCTTCTTTCAAGGTATTCCTTATAACCCTCGGTATCAGCCACCAAACTGCAGGGGATTGGAGGCCCTACAGCATTGTAAAAGGCTTTACTAGGTGTTACCTTAAGCTGGTGATAATAGTCCTTTCTGTCAGTCACTCCTATGGCAAACCTATCACAGGCGATGTTGCAGTAAAGGCTGCATAAATCTGGTCCACATGGAAGCGAAACAGATGGCCCTACTATTTTAGCCTCAGTATAGTTTCTACCGCGACGATCACCAATTTGTCTGTCGACATCGAGGTTCTTATAGCAGTTGAAAACCTTTACGGCTTCAAAAGGATGGGCATCATGATACGCACTGTCAACAACATAAAGCAAACCACGCGCATCCCAGACTTTTGCCAACTCTGCAACCTCAGACTGCTTGTCGGTGCAAACCGGGAAAGCACCAGCTGGAGGGACCCTACCTTCTATATGAATCAAATCAGGTTCACGAAAAGCCATGAGCAAATCATTACTAAGATAAGGGTCAGGAGACCATGCACCTTTTCCAGAAATCTTCAACCTGCTAGCTTCAAGACTACGGTAGGGTCTGAGCTCCTCTGCCTGTGTCAAATCAACCGGAACGCTAAGACCATGGAACGTACGGTCGTAAGGATTGCAGCTAGGCCCAAAAGCGGTCAATGCTCCAGAAAGTTCTGAGAGCCTTGCAACTAATTGAGGTATCCTACGGCCCGTAGCAGTAATATCTGGTATCACTGCTGAGCCCTCCGCCCTTATGAACTTCCAGGCCAAGTGCATTGAGTTGGGAGTCCTACCTAACAAATCACCAGAAACAGGTCCACCACTGTACCAAAAATTCAACGCAAGCACCATTATGCTAAGAGCTCTATTAAGGTGGATTCTATGTCTCTTCTTCTGTGAGAGTTCAGGTTTCATCCTTCGGAACCACTCGCCCAGAGGGAGCAGTATAGGGAAAAAGGACGGTGCCGTGCATGGAACACGTGGCAAGGAAATGGATTTGGCCACAAATCTTGAAAAAGGTGTCAGTCCGCAAAACACTTTGGATCAGTCCAGCACACCACTTTGAGTATGACAGGACTTTGCAGGGGCTGTGCTGGGGCAAACTATTCTTACTAGGGCAAGTAGATTTACCAGGTGCTGGACATTTATCATGAACTGCAACGCCAGTGGAAACCTCTGCATTCACAGTCCTAGTATCCTGCAACTTTTCGTCTTTACGAACTTGCAAATCTACTAACCCTCCGAAGCTTTTGGCTTCTTTGGGAAACGAGGCTTCCTTTTTGGAGACGCGTCCTTCTCGGCATCCTCGGGAGCTGCTTTTCCTGGTCGAGGAGCTTTCTTGATTTCTGACTTTCTGGTGGGCAGGATGTCCAACTCCTTGAGATAGGCGAGGTGCGTAGCAGCCCATTCTGTCGGCATTATCGGACAGAAAGCTTTCATCCCGCTCATGTTGGATATCCTGTCTTGGAACAGTTGGGACGGTGGGTCTGGTGCCAAGCTGATCAGAAAGGCTGTCTCCCACGTCCCATCCATCGCAGCCTGTTCGAGCGAACATACAAGGAGGGACAAATGTTCCCTCACCCGAGCCCAGTCTTCTGCGGCGGCTGAGTCTACCGCAGCGCACACAATCCATAAGATCAGTCCCAAATCCCTCTGGCCTTTGAAACCTCCAAACCTTTCCAGGTATGAGTATAAGCTTAGGCACAACTGCTTGACTTCCGCATCTGACTTGGGGACTGGCTTTGAAGGGTGCATTCTGTGGCAAAGCTGCTGCTGGAACTGTAGCCAGAAACTGGATGTGCCCATCGCCAGAGAAGAAACCATCTTCTCCCTTCTTGCAATTCCTCTCGTCGAAGATGCACTGGATCCCGAACTGGTAAGAGCCAGATCCACCATGGGGTCGCTGCTCTGACCTGCCAGATGAGCCACCAACGTTTGCAACGCCGATGACTGTCTTGTCAGAGCTGCCAACATTGGGTCTGGAGTAGGACTCAACGGGTCCACCATCTCCTCGTCTGGAAAATCCATGTTGCCCTCTTCTGCTAGCTTCACCGGCTCTACTTTGGCCCTTGGAGGAGGCCCCACAAGATGAGTGAGGTCCTTTGGAGATGCACGAGGACCTGCCGCCAGCGCTGAGCTGAGTGCTGGTATCTTTGGTACGCTTGGTCCAAGCGTGGCTAAAGCTGCCACTGTCTGCTCTTGCGCATGAGTGGCATGTCCATCCCTTTGCTCTCTCAGGACTGCAGGTGTCTGAGGGGACTGCAGCAAAGACATAACCGTCTGCATCTGAGAGGTCAGAGTTGCCACTTGCTCCGCCAAAGTTGCCGTAGTTACCCTCTTGGGCTGAGCTCCCTTCTTTGTCTTTGGAACCTTGGGCAAAGGTGGTCCATCTTGCTCTTCTCGAGCAGAATAAAAATTTGCCCTTGAGATTTCAGAGTCTTTTGTCCAGTTCTTAACTGCATCCAAAACCTTCTCAAAATCAGGGAGTCCGCTTGGGGCCGCAGAGTAGAAAGGCATGATCTCCGTAGCTGCATCATGTGCTGGATCATAATCTCTAAGGAACTCCAGTACTCGGTCATCGAAATCAGCTACAATGAATTCAGTTTCTACCCCTACTGCCTGGACCGCTCCATCCTCCAACTCTTCGATCAAGGGGGCAGAGCCTCTCAAGCTAGGCCCCAGAAGCGAATCATCATCTGCTGCATTCCCTAATTCTAATGCATCGGCCGACAAAACTCCAACCGGAACACAGAGCAGCATGCCGTTCCTACGTGCCATGATTGGTATTGCATAGGACGCACACTGCACTTCACCTGTTGCAATCTCAGGAGGAACCTCCAGGACTAATAGCCCCGGCTCCCCGACTGCTGCATACCTAATGCTGGCTTTTTGGAACGCCGACATTCTGGTACCTTGATCTGCAAAACTGAACAGAATATCTGCACCTCTGTGAGCGAGGGGAACTCTTCCACTATGGTCCAGCTGCTAGTCGGATCAACGAACTTGTTGAGCTCTCGGCGAGATGAAACCCTGAAAGGCTCACTGAGGCCCAAGGCTCGGACAACCACAAAGTGATTACTGGCTAAACCTGAGATGGACCCTTCTGGCTTGTACAAAGTCTCAGTACGCCAATCAGCCCAAGCCCAATGACCTGCCTTTAGAGCTCTAGTAAGTCTGTCCTTAGCAGGAACGGCTGACGACTTCAAAGTGCTCTCCACTAACCTGACAAGCTCTGCCTGAGGCAAAGGAGGACCGTCTTCGACAATCCGGAACTTCAGATTCAATGCCAAATCAGGGGAGACTTCTTGCTCTCCTTCCACAATCTCCCACTCAGGTTCCTGATGAGAGGAAGCTGAGTCAGTCACTATGGCTTCAGCCAATCTATCAACCCTTAAGCTCAATGCCTGCAACTCTTGCCTTATTGACTCCAATTCCTTAGTCACTGCCTCCTTAGTTTTCCGTGTGCTCATGCAAGTATCCCCTCAAACGAGGAGGAAGGTGTACTCTGGCAGCAGGAAAAGTGCGAGGTGGCGGCACTTGGAATGAATGCAAAGGACCAAAGAAAACCCAACAGGCAGCAAGAGCACAAAAGGCAATTCCAACCGCTAGACCAGTGAGAAGTCCAAGCAGGAACGGAATGAGGGTGGAAGAGCCACAATGATATGGGCAGGAGAAAGAGCTGGAAGCGACTGCAAGGAAGTCCAACACCTGCAAAACCCTATCCATGAATCTTGAGAGGAAAATACGAAACGGCATTCAGAGATATTGAAAGCATATATATATATAATATATCCACCGCAACATTGCCAAGGATTCATGTATCAAACTGGCCTTGAACAGTTGACCTCCCATTTATTTTTGGTTATGTATCCACATAAGTTCCCCGTGATGGTGAGTCAAAACCCCCATGTCATGTCTGACGCTCAATCCAACACCAACCCTTGGCATTGTTTGATCGCGATTTCATGCTAATTATATATATACCCTCTGGTAAACGTTAATGTAACTATGGAAAATCACCATATTTTCAATGGGTAAATTCACTATTTCAATGGCCATTTTCAATAGCTATGTTAAACAAATTACCAGAAAGTATATAATTCAACAAAATTTCACCAGATTTTCTTAAACCCAATGTTTGATGGACATCTACCACCAGGTCACCAAGGTTTACCCATGTATAGCACCCCAAACAATGTAGAAACAGTTTCTATCTGGCCATGGGTCAAAGCCCTCCTACCATTCTCTTCACCTCAAAAACACGTGGAATATGCGTGTTAATCCCCAAACCATAGGCTTGTATAGGTCATCCATGCTTGACTGGTTGGTGGTATACCTACCCCTCTGAAAAATATGAAAGTCAGTTGGGATGATTATTCCCAATATATGGAAAACAATCAAAATGTTCCAAACCACCAACCAGTTGATATATGATAAGTCAATATAATTCTTACATGTTTAACATTTGGGTATTGTACTATACCCATCCATACCCATCATTCCCAAATGGTTTCCTGAAAATCTATAGGTGAAACGACGCTAAATCCGCGGCTTAACCTATGAATTTTGGGGCTGGCTCCAAGGTGGTGTTCCCTTGCTGTACGTTGATTAAACCCAGCGTAGCTATGGATACCCTCTGGTAAACTAACATAGCTATGGAAAATCACCATGTTTAATGGGGAAATCCACTATAAATGGCAATTTTCAATAGCTATGTTAAATTACCAGAGGGTATATTTACCAACACAAACCGTCTTATTGATCTACCTAGCAACCAAATTTATCTAACTATGGGGCACCACCACTATTGGCTAATGAATGGTTCATATCCCTGTGTTTAGTTTTAGTTGATATATCATGATGTTCTACAGTACTAGCGCTTAATAGCAATATCCCATTAATATCCCATTCATGTCCAGTTAATATCCCATGGATGGTTATATATTCCCATTTTGTCCAATATTCACCATTTTTCATTGTTAAATCACCTTAAATCAACCTTCTGTGACAGAAATCCCATTGAAACCTCGCAGAAGACCACCGCCATCTTGGCGGCGACGTACCAGGTCCGTCCTAGTTCACCTGGGGTATCCAGGCGCTACGCCGCTGAGCATGTATATACATAGTGTAAAAATACATGTGTATATATATATATATATACACTTACTTAAACTCACATAAGCACATAAAGATGTATATGCCATGTGGTTATGTGAGTTTAAGTGTACATTAGGCGTCTTTCACAATCCATTCTAGACCCATATCATTATCATCCATATACCTAAATACATGTAAGTATATGTGACACACGAAAGATGCCTAGTCATATTTTTTTACGTGGTTACTTAATATCATTTCAACATATATATATATTAAAATTCTCAATCCTTGTATGATGTTTCTCCATTCCTTACATACTGGATTATACCCATCTTCCAGATGCATAAATACACATTAATACTGCACATGTATATGTAAATGCATATGTAAATATATGTTTTTGTTAAATGTAAATGTAATATGAATATGAATATATTATATTATATCATATTATATTATATTACATTAAATGATGTTATGTTATTTTATATTATATTGTATTATATTACATTAAATGATGTTATATAATAAGATTTTTTTATTATATTATATTATATTATACTAAATTATATTATATTAAATTATATTATTTATAAAATGATATTATATTATATTGTATTATATTATATTATGTTAAATTGTATGTATGTATGTATGCATGTATGTCTGTATGTCTGTATGTCTGTATGTCTGCATGTCTGTATGCATGCATGCATGTATGTATGGACATGTATGTATGTAAGAACATGTGTGGACATATATCGACATGTATATGATTATATGTGTACTGTATACATATGTTGATGATAGGGTAGGGATAAGTTCAGTGGCCCTGCAGATTTACTTGATGGCTAGATCTCTCCTGTCTCACAGTTATTGAGCTCTCATTTTTTGTTGCTAGCTCCCAGACAATCCAAGGTGATGCGCAAGCCCGACATAAGCCGGTGTCCTGATTCAGTTTTCCCCTGCGCATTTGCACTGAGAAGTCTGGATCACTTGTGCACGGTCGTATGTAATGTAAGGAACAAAATAAACTACCGAATCGTCACTTCTACTACTACCACTTTTGGATACCTTCCAAATACCCAGGCAACTTGGTAGTTTACCCCCGTGTTACCCGTTCTTTGGAAACTTTGAAGATCCAGCTCATGATTGCAGGAGTGAGTATGTTGTCATATATATATAATATATATAAAGATACAAACATATATATACAAACATGTACATAAATACTGTAACGCAACCCCACAAAACAAAAAAAAAACAATCCTTAAAGCGGGGCTTTTTCTACGCCGGGCCTTTCAGGTGTCGCGCCAAATTGCTGGGATCTCCGGTCTCCTGAAATTTCGCACATCAGCCCAGTGGGGGGATCATCCCAATGGCTTAATGTGGATTTAATATAATGATGATGAGTATGTATTTGTAGGGTTGCGTTACAGTATTTATTTTCTGCTACAGACTGTGAACCCTGTAATCATTAAAAATACAAAAAATACAAAAAAAATACAACTACAAATTACCAAAAAAATACAACACTGAGCAGGGCAAAATTATCAACAAAAGGAAAATACAACATACATTGATGGATTCGTGGTTTTGTTCTTTGACGGCATGTCTAAAGAACGCAAAAAATACAAAAGGACAAAGTGCAATCTGTGAAGGACTGGGAAAATACAAAAAAATACAAAAATACAAATTGCATTTTTGGACGTAATGGAAAAATACAAAAAAACACAAAAATACAAAGTGATTTTTTTGGGTATTTTATTTGTATTTTTTCGTATTTTTTGTATTTTTATACCAAAAAAAAAACGAAAAACATACCAAAAAAATACGAATGCAATTGCTCAAAAATACAAAATACAAGAAAAATTCGAATCAACAATTTCAAAAATACAAAGTACAAAAAAAATACGAACCCAACATTTCAAAAATACAAAATACAAAGACAAATTCAAAAATAAGCCAGAGAGCCAACCCCGTGTTCACTTTTGGAAATCAGGAACCAAAATACAAAAAAAATACAAAACCAACCAGTTGTATTTTCCAAACCCTGCAGTTCTGATTTTGTATTTTTGGGTTGTATTTTTTTCGTATTTTTTTTGTATTTTCAATATTGGTAGAAGACCCTTCTGTAGCCACCCCGGACAACTCAAGTTTATCGAGTTATATTTAGGATTGAGACGGATCAACCAAGATTATGGCTCATGTACGAAGACCGTGAGATGATCCTCCAAGCAGGGGGGCTGGAAGTATTCTTTCGGTTCAGCCGGGCCAGAGCCGCCCAAATTCCATCTCTTTCAGAGACTCTTAAAACAGGTTTGTTTCCCTGCCAGGTGAGGGTCTCTAGATTTTATCAGAGGTGCATTCCGTCCTCCTTCTCCTTCTCCTTCTCCAGATCCTCAACCGCGAGCTGCAGACAGCACACTGCCGGACCTCAACCGCCAGGTCCAGATCTCAGTGACAGGCCTGGACTGGCGCCAGATCTCAGTGCTGTCAGAGGGAATGTTAGAATAAATGCCAGATAGAATGGAAACACTGTCGGAGTATATGCCGAGAATGTCAGCATATCTGCCAGAAAGTATATCAGAACAGATGCATAGAATGCCAGCAAGAATGCCATATCCCAGAAAGAATGTCAGATAGAATTTCGGAATACATATCCAATATATAAAATACACATAATTGTAGATATATACTTCCAAATGGTATGTCAGAAGCTATATGTCAGAATAATGTGTAAGGGTGGGGATCAAAAGTAATTTGCATATTGTATGGGTTTACACTAAAACAAATCCTGCGGCTGATCATGTTTATCCACATCATCCATGTTTGTATGATATACTTGCATATTTTTCTGCAATAAATCATACCAAACATCCCACTTTAAGCGAAACAACATATACTCTCTGGTTATTTAACATAGCTATGAAAATGACCCATGTATAGATGATGTACCTATTAAAAGTGATGATTTTCCATGGCTATGTTAAATAACCATAGGGTACCGTTTGTTTTTTATTCCCGTGACATGTGAAATGCTCAACGTTTGAGTTGTTAATCCCGATGGTCACCAAGCATTTTGGATGATTTGGAGGTTCCCCATGGCCTATGCTCGGAAGACTCCAGATCAAAGATCATGAATTACACTTAAAGCTAGTACTTGACAATTACATTAAATTATATATATATAGTGTACAAAAAAGAACAGTTATGCAATAATATAATATATATATATAGAGTAAAGGAACTAATGTCAAAAACCATCATCCTTGGCTCGTGGCTTCAATCGGCTTCAATCACTGAAAAATCTTTAAGGCTCCTCAATGAATTCGCGGCGAGCCGTCGCCAAATAGTCGCCTTCATCCTCAGTCCAACCAAAAAATGCTGAAGGTAATCACAAAAAAAGGTGAGGGTTTGTAAAGGTAACACAAAACCTAACTTTAATGGTGGTTTAATAGGATTTTTAATGGTGGTTTAATGGGATCTAATGGGAATTTCAATGGCACCTGGTTGGTGGTTGCTGCTAACCCCTCTGAAAAATGATGGAGTTAAAGTCAGTTGGGATGATGACATTCCCAATATATGGAAAGTCATAATCCACGCATGTTCCAAACCACCAACCAGGGCTTATTAAACCATCAACCACCAAGGCCCGGCCCTGAACATCTACAGTATCATTGGTGAGTTGAAAAAAACACCAATGACATACGAACGCGACGTAAAACGTAATGACTGAGGCGATCGAAACCGATAAACTGATTGTTCAACTGTTCACTCTGAAATCGTGTGTGTATATTAATCATTAACCAATCCATTAATCATCTTTATTGGGGATGATCATCATCATTAATCACAGTCATTAACGATATATATATATATATATATATTATTAATCATTAATCATCATATTATGCAGGGACACAAGTGGAAATTGCTGGATTCTTCATATCAAATACCACCTCCGGGTTACCCTCTGGTTATTTGTTACATAGCCATGGTATAGATGGCCCATAGAAATAGAGGGTTCACCTATTAAAAATGGTGGATCTTTCCATGGCAAACTGTTAGTCATATATAACCAGATGGTACCAAGTACTGACTATGGAAAATCACCATTTTTCATAGGAAAAATCACTATAAATGGTGATTTTCCATAGTTGTGTTAAATAACCAGATGGTATCCCCAGGTTTGCTGAACAGCCCATCGAGAAAACTGCCCCTGTGTGAATCCAGCGGTCCGCGCTTCAGGTTCTCGCTTCCCTTGTGGAAAGAGTAGAACCTCGGAAGAAAAACTGCCACAGATGATCTTCACCATGAAATATGGACCATGAATGGCCATGATGAAAATCATGATACCATCCATTTCTTTGGGGATAGTGCTACCCCCTAAAATGTTGTGAGTTGGTTTATAAACCCCTCATATATATATATTTATATATTTATATATATTGTATATATAATGTATGATCTACCGTAAATTCAATCAGTAAGCTCATGAACCAGTGTCCCACTACTTTGGCTAAGTTGGTTTATAAGTAGGCGAACGGTGCGTACCATTGAACTCCTCGTACGTATAATACATCTATGGTTGGGGGGATGATACTGATGATACATCTACAAATTCGACCATACAGGAAAGCAAGTGCAGGCAAAATCCAACAACTGAACAGCATGTCAATGTGGAAACATAGACGTAACCTGCACTTAGTAGCAGAAAGACAGGTACTATACTTGCAATGTTTTTGCGGCCCCCAAACGATAGCTAAGTTGGTGAACATAACTCCAGAACATAACTCCAGTAACTATGGTGTATGATACTCGCAACAAGGTGGTGTTAAAGACTGCATCATGCTGTCAGGTTACAGTTTGACGACTTCCCTAAATACACAGTATTTATATAACAAGAATAAGTATGTGCATATTTATGATATATGTATTATAATCACAGATATCCAATATGTACATATATATAATGTATATATATTTATATAATTATAATATACTTTTTCTCATGTTCCTCTTCCGTAAACGCGTGTTTTGCATCTCACCGCCCGCTCACAGTAGCGGATGGATAAAATGTTTAATAACCAATCCACTTGGATGGAACATCTGTGCAACTTGAACCAGCCCTGGGAATGCTGTCCATTTAGATGTCCAAATTCAGCGGTGGGTTTCTCCATTTCAGCGTTCCATTGGGCGCCAAGCGTTCACCCCAGGTGAAGGAAATCCCAGCCAGCAGCCCTCATTGGGATTAAACAAAAACAGAGCCGCTGCCGAGTCACTCTCTTTTGCCCCGAGCCGGAACCCACACCTGTCATTCCGTCGGCGATTTCTTGTGCTGAATCCGCCATTGTTTCCCCGGAAATCTTCCCGCTTGGCTTGTTCCTACCATTGGCCAATTTGAGGCACCCACTTTTGTGCTTCACATTGTTTCAGCATCCTGCATGCCTTGATTGCAATCTCAAAACAACTGGACAAGTTGGCCTCGGAAGTATGACAAGCATCATCCATTGCCCTTGGATATACCGTGAAGAATGGCTGGCATGGGATATGGATATGGCCTATGGCATGTGAAGAAAACACAAGGATGTTGACGGTGCACATCAACGATACATAGTCTACCTTCCTAGGTGTTGCCCCATAGTTAGCTAGGTCGGTTTCTAACTCCCATAACTTGGATTTATGGTGGTTATAACTGTAGCTAATGGGAGTATAACCCAACTTATCACTGGCTTGCAACACCACCTTTTACGGGATTCTAGCTGCTAAGCTGCAAAAGGAGATCACAGAGTTTGACTGCTAGCATGACATATTTCCCAACAAATCAATGATCTTCTGGAAAACAAGAGTTAACACGTGATCATTTCTACATATTCCAACCAATTACATGATCATTTATTGACTTTTTGCCATCATTTTGGTTCCTGGAACATTGATATCTACAGCTATACTATACAGATATATTGTTCCGGTTCTCCATTCTACATTGTTCTGGTTCTCCATTTACACAGCTAACAAACAAAATGAACCAACTCGCCAGTCTTTCTCGCAAATACCGCATGATCCTTGGTTAAGCCCGCACTTTGCTTTTCTATACCCGAATTTCTTTACCCAATCCCTTCCTCATTGTTTCATGACCAAACAGTCAAACCTCTAGTTTTGTCCTTGTTGGAAGCCGATTGCTGTGCTACTTCCAATTAGATACCCAGTTCTTACTTCATTCTGCTTGGTGGTATGAGGTGATATCTGTATATATATATATATATACAGATATCCAATACATATCCTCATTTTGCGGTATGTTCTTCAACCAAAGACCCTGCTGGACACGACAGGACCCGCGCCTAATTCCCTGAAGGACACGCGACGCTCCTCAACCGCCAAGAGCAGCTTGCCTCGGCACCGGTGCGTCCAAAATGGGACGATGAAATTGATGCAGAGCTGTTGATGAAAATGAACGAAGTTACCCTCTGCTTATTTGTTACATAGCCATGGAAAATGACCCATTTATAGATGGTTTACCTATTAAAAATTGTGATTTTCCATGGCTATGTTAAATAACCAGATGGTAGGTCCATTGTTTAAAGATAAATGTTCACACCGTAGCTAGACTTCGCTTAAACTCACCTGAAACTGAGCTCAACTGATACGTATGGAGACATGCTCAAGTAATCGGATTGAATTTTAAAGATGAGTGGAAACAATAGAACCTACGCAAAAAGATGCAGACATAATACACAAGCAACAATCCCAAACCGGGTGGGTACCCTCAATATAACCGATATATATAACCCGAAACAATATCATTCATCGTTAGTTTGATAAAGCAGTTTCCGAACCATCTACAGGTATGGCTCTTAAGACTAAATGGGAATAAATCTGCAACTCAAATGTTAAATCACTTGAAGGATGTTATTTCAGGCTTTCTGGGGCTATGGCTACTGGAAAGCAGTTTCCAAACCGTCCAGGCTTGGTCGCAGAAACCCTTGATAGGAAACTCCTCTGCTGATGGTCGAAACATGTCACGGATCGTTCAAAACAAGAATTTCAAAAAATACTTACCACAACACTAATGTATTGTAATGTATTGTAAATATATTGATAAATACATATATATATATTTATAAATTATATATATATATATTTATTATATATATATATGATATATGTATATAACGCATCTATCACCAGCTGTTCTTTGTGAAGGTAGACGGTAGCGCCAGCTGGTATAGCTTGCCACCCTGATGGCCATCTGAGGGGCCACACAAAGCTGCTTCGCTCTGTCCAGAGTATAGAAAATGACCCCTGCCTGGGCGCTGTCGGAAAATGGTCGCCTGAAGTGCTTGTAAAATCTTGTAAAAAGTGAACGGAAGATGAATGGGATAGCGGGGAAACGATGGGAAACGGTCACACTCAGATCAATTGTTGCTGTTAATCAGATAATGAAATACTCAGATTGTTGCAGTTCAGTTCTTTGTGAACGTCGCACATTCCACGCAGGGATGAAACATGACAAACGATTATTTTAAAACCACGTGAGGTTTTGTGGCCAAAGAGAATTTCGTTTGTTGCGAAAATATCGAAAATCGTACCAAACCAAGCTATACCTATCATGGTGAATGGTCTGTCACCTATCGTGGTGGCCATGGACCCTTCAAGGCCATCAAAGGAAGCGACCAAACGCATCCGTTCCAAATGTAGCTCCTTCCTACGAAAAGAACCTCTGGTAAACGTTTACATGACTATGGAAAATCACATTTTTTATGGGTAAATCCACTATAAATGGCCATGTTCAATAGCTATGTTTGTTTACCAGAGGGTAAACCTCACGCAAACAGCGGGGTTTTCTTTCAAAATGACCAGTCACAAAAGTCTCATCGCTTAAAATTCCCTGTTGAGATATGCACACATTTAGGTATGGCTGCGGGCAAAAAAAACATGAATGAGAAATCACACCTCGCCGGCCATTCGTGGGACCCCACAGTCACCAGTCGCCGCTCTGAGATCCCTCACTGCGCGATAGTCTTCGGGAATATAACTTTTCCGAAGGGGCCTCTGGGAAGATCCCCAAAGCTGTTGAGGGATTGATACCGCAGTTTCTAGACATCTGGACTGATTTTTTAATGAACCAATTACAGGGGTCCCCAAATAGATAGAAAAAGCATACCTGGGATCTAACAAAGTGACTCACTTTTCCATCTTCTTGTACCCTCTGGTTATTTAACATAGCCATGGGAAATGACCCATTTATAGATGGTTTACCTATTAAGAATGGTGATTTTCCATGGCTATGTCAGTCATAACCAGAGGGTATGATATCATACAAATCTCCAGCAAACGGATTAGTTTCATCCCAAAATCCCATCAAAAAAAAAGCGACAGATGTCCTCTGCGTGCGTCGCTGGTACAATCGGGTGACCTGAGTCTCAAACTGCCGTCCATGCAGGTCCCTCAGATTCATCTTCCCTTATAGAGATATCAGCAGACTCGGCATGTAAATGGATATGTGGGTACTTGCGTTATATTGTGTATATATATAATATATATATATATACATATAATTTCATATATACGGAATACAAATGGCATGAAATGAAAAAACAACTTGGAGACATGCAAAATCCACCAAGTCAAGCGCCATCTGAAACAAACACCCTTTGATCAAGGGAACCATCCCTGTCAAGGTCCCTCCTCCTGAGATGCCGGACGCCCCAACCCACTACTGCCAGGCCCAATAGCCATTTCACACTCTGAAAAGCGTGCGTCCGCACACCTCGTTGCAGCGGAGACCAGAATGGTTTGGGAAAAACTCCAAGAATATCATTTTCAGATATTTTCAGATACTACTTGGACCCTCCATTCTTGGAGTTTTTCAGATACTTTGGGTCCCTCCAAGGTGGTGACTGGTGACCCCCCCAGGTACTACTTGGTTTATATCCAGTATTAACTGTAGATATATCGACCATAAACCCAAGCTATTGGAACATATTGGACTAACTTAGCTATCGTGGGCAGCACCTGTTCCAGTACAATTGGAGGTTCCAAGTCACATTGCCATTGCCTTGGCCTTCAGTAACTTCAGTATCCGAATAGATGATTGGATCCCAAATGCTGGGGGGAAAGGTCATAGTTACATAGTTTCATTTTTAGCTGGTTGTCAACCCCCTGAAAAATACGAAAGTCAGATTGGATCATCATCCCAACTATTGGGGACAATAAAAAATGTTGCAAATCACCAACCAGTTAGTTTCCCATAGTTTCCTGCCACTTCAAATCAGCAAACATCTCGACCAGACGGGATCCACAACTTCACCACTCCCCCGCCATCCCCCGCGGCGGCGAAGGCAACCACATGTCCTCATTTCTTGGTGGAACCCCCATGTCTTTCAAGCAACGAACTTCTTTTTTTGGGGGGATCGTTCATCATTTTGCCTTTGATTGAAAATGTTGTCTTCCCGCCATTCCAATGGATTATCATCATGTTCCCTATCCAACATGATGCTGTGGGGGATACGATGGTATACTCAATTTTCAAACGCACACGCAAATATCCGTTTGGTCCATGATCATCATTGTCCAGCGACTAAATCTTAAAACTTTTTTATTTCCACACCTGCCAGGTGAGGGTTGTTAGATTTTATGTCAGTTGCCTCCTCCTCCTCCTTCTCCTCCTCCTCCTCCTTCTCCTCCTCCTCCTCCGCCTCCTCCTGCCTCGTCCTCCTCTCCTCCTCCTTCTCGTCCTCCTCGTCGTCCTCGTCGTCCTCGTCGTCCTTGCTCAACTGCGACCCGCGATCCACAGTGTTCTCTGCCGGACCTCAACCACGACCATCCACGCCCAGTGTTCCCTGCCGGACCTCAACCACGACCATCCACGCCCAATGTTCCCTGCAGGACCTCAACCACGACCATCCTCGCCCAGTGTTCCCTGCCGGACCTCAACCACGACCATCCACGCCCAGTGTTCCCTGCCGGACCTCACCCGCGAGTATCCACGCC